TAGAGAAATAAGCATTATTTCATTTCTCTGAACTAGCCTGCAAGATAAGTAGAAGTATCCCCGTTCTGTTGATGGGGAAATGGACTCCATGAGATACAGTAACCTTGTCAGGGCCACATTGCTAATAAGTGGTGTGGCTGTCATTGGAACCCACGTGTGATTTTAAGACCCTTAGTTTGCAAGTTTTTTCTTACCTCTCTGTTGTTACTGAAGGAAAGGGCCAAGCCACTGTAACGGCTCTGCTGAGGGGATGGGCAGGACAGCTCTACTCTGACAGGTCATTCTGGCATCCGTGTTCTTTTCATCTTATTGCTCCTCCGTCTGTAGGGCAGTTCCGGTGACCAGCCCCATATACAGTAGGAGAGTTTTACTAGTTATTTACAACCTGTGTCTGTTCTGAATGATTGAACTCATGTTCTGAATGGGTGCTGTCTAAATCATACAAGTAATTAGATATTTTTAGTATCATCTGGCCCTGGGTTTTGTCCGCATCTGCATGGCTGAAGCCGGGTCCCTGCCATGTCTGTATTACAACCCAGGAAATGGGAAAAGAAATCCAGGGAAGTCAGTTTGTTGCAAAATTAAGGCAACCTAAAATTTGTACATATCATTTTCAGTTACATCCCATTAGTCACAACTTGGACACATAGCTGCTTGGCTGCAAGGGAGGTTGGGAAATGTAATCTCTGAGTGGTCTCATGCTCAGCTTAATATAGCAAACAATGTGGAAGTGGGAGTCCTAGAACTAAACAGAAGAAGGAAAAAGTGTCTACTTGAGACATTTAGCAGTCTCCACCACATCGACCTAATGCCACTTATTCAGAAAATGATTTTGTTCATATTGAACAGAATTACGGCAAATTAAAGACAGTTACACTTGCCTCATCAGATAATTGTGAGGTCTAGTGAGGTGTCCTATTTGCAGCTCCTAGCACAGTGCCTGGCACATAGTAGGCTTTTAACACATATCTATTACTTACATTATTTACATTTAGTATATCTGCATCGTTTAAGAGGAAAAAGATTTTTTAAGTTTATTTATTTTGAGACAGGGAGCAGGAGGAGCACAGAGAGAGAGACCCCAAGCACACTCCACACTGGCAGCAAAGAGCCCACCACAGGGCTCCATCTCATGAACTGTGGTATTATGACCTGAGCTGAAACTGAGAGTCAGATGCTTCACCGACTGAACCACCCAGGTCCTCCAAGAGGAAAAAAAATTAGCTTCAGATTGTCTGCATTATAATTGGTAGTCAAGACTATATTTTGTGCCATTTTTATGATTTTGTGTAAGTGCTTAGGAGTTTCTACAGATTTGGAACATACTGAGAGTAATTTTTACACTGAATATCATTTCAATCTTTGAGTTAAGAGATTTTTTGATTTGTAAAAACAACGAAACCTAAAACAAAAAGTGCTAATTTTATTGAATTGAGTCGAATGTGAGTGCACAGTAGCAGGTGGCTATTGGTGTATGGTTTTTTTTTTAATGTTTTATTTATATCTGAGAGAGAGAGAGAACTTGAGCAGGGGAGGGTCAGAGAGAGAGGGAGACACAGAATCTGGAACAGGCTCCAGGCTCTGAGCTGTCAGCTCTGTCAGCACAGAGCCCGACGTGGGGCTCAAACCCACGAACCGTGAGATCATGACCTGAGCTGAAGTCAGATGCTTAACCGACTGAGCCACCCAGGTGCCCCTATTGGTGTATGTTAAATACTTGCTGATTTTTAGGCTTCAAAGTGAGTTATTTCATGTACAATAAAATAGACTTACTTAGTAACCAGATGCACAACTTAGTCATTAGCCACAATTTAGAATCTAATCTGTATTAATTATCACTGAATTATCATGACTCAGACACAACCTTTCATGCTTTACAGATTTGTAATAGATTTGTTGATGGATAGAGAGTTGGACATCAGGTGTGGACTGAAGTTTCTGTTGTGCAAACTGTCCAAACTTCCTAAATTGGAATATTTTGATATTAAATTCTAAGGAATCCTATATTTCAGATAAGAAGTGACTAATTAACAAAAGCCCATGATTTGGAGAGGAAATATCTTTCACCTGAGCGTGGTCTGTGCTCACCAAAGTTTTCAGTATAATATTTTTCTAAATAGTCACAGTGAACCAAATCAGGTTGTTACAGGAAGTATGTTAATATAAAAACAAAAATTCATATTTCTGTGTTTTCCATTTCTTAAATAAAAATAAATACTGACTTATAAGATATTATTACAGGTTTTTCTCTTTAGCCTTTTTAGTGTATATTTAAGTATTATTATGAGGACATAAGAAAAAATAAAATATGCACTTAGATACTGAAGTAGGAGTTTGAAGGCAGAATGATCTGTACTCTAAGTAAATCAATAAATAAAAATATTAAATACCTGTTTTCATTTTAATGTATATAGAAATTTTTGTTGGTCCACAGAGTTTTTCTCACCCAGTTAATATCACAAATGTGAAGTATTTACATAAGTAAGCATGTATATGGGAAAAAATTATATTAATCTTGTAGGTCATTGTCATAGCTTTATTAAAACATTCAGTTATATATTTTTTAACACTTGTGTTTTGTGGGCTCTTGGATTTGTGGGAGAATGCTAGTTTGTATTCCAGTTGGTCAAACTATGATTTCTCTACTCGCTCATACAGTAGATATATAATTATATATATATAATTATATATGTGTGTATATATATATATGGACATATAATTTTTAAAAGTAATTTATGTGCCCAACATGGGGCTCGAACTCATGACTGCAAGGTCAATAGTTACATGTTCTGACTGAGCTAGCCAGGCTCACCTGTACATAATTTTATTTTTAACTTTTTTTAATGTTTTTTTATTTTTTAGAGAGACAGAGACAGAATGTGAGCAGGGGAGGGAGGGTGGAGAGAAAGTGAGGCACAGAATCCAAAGCAGGCTCCACGCTGTCAGCATAGAGCCCAACATGGGGCTCGAACTCACGAACCGTAAGATCATGAACTGAGCCAGTCAGACAATTAACTGACTGAGCCATCCAGGAGGCCCTATAATTTCTTAATTTTTCAGTAATTTTGTTCATGTAATTTTTTAAAGCAGTGGGTAGGGTGATGTAGTGATAGGTAGAATATGAATAAAATACACATAAAGAAAATTCTAATTATATGTAATGCTACCAGGAGCTTCCAGATAATACTATGATGATAATAGATAAAATTTGTTACAGTACTCAGTGCTATGCATGAATTGTCTTGTTTATTTAGTATTTAGTAACTCATGAGATAGGTACTATTACCTTCAATTTAGAGGGGAGGAAACAGATTTAGAAAGGGTAATCACTTGTGGCACCTGGGTGGCTCAGTTGATTAACTGTCAGACTTTGGCTCAGGTCATGATCTCATGGTTTGTGAGTTCAAGCCCCACATCAGTCTCTGCCATTAGCACAGAGACTGTTTTAGATCTTCTGTCTCTCTCTCTCTCTCTGATCCTGTGCCATGTACATATTCTCTCTCTCTCTCTCTCTCTCTCAGGAGAATCTGTTTCCTTCCTTTTTCAACTTCTAGAGACTGCTACAGTACTTGGCTTATTGCGCCTTCCCTCCATCTTCAAAGCAAGCAGCATCCATCAAGGCTATCTCAATATTTTTCTCTCTCCAGTTCTCTCTTCCAGTTGTCTCTTCCCCTTTTAAGGATCCTTCTGGTTACAGCAGACCTACACAGAGAGTACAGGATAATCGCCCTAGTCAAAAGTCATCTGTTTAGTAGCCTTAATTTGAACTGCTACCTAAATTCTCCTTTACCATGGAACCTAACCTATTCATAGGTTCTGGATATTATTAGATTCTGATCTTCTAAAGCCATTATTCCACTTAACCACAGTGGTGGGACTGGAACTGGTCCTCACCTCTGTTTGCCTCTCAGCCATTCCTTTAGAAAGTTAAAAACCCAACCCTGAGGTCATTTTTTCAGAGTGGTTTTGCCCTTATTGAACATTATCTTGACAAGGGTTGCATAACTTTCATAGTACTGAAAGTTGCTAAACTTTTTATAACCTATAGAGAAAGTGATCTTACTTATATATTATAAATGTCTAATACATTTTTAAATGTTTAATTCACAGGAAAAGAAGACCATAATTAGGATTCAAATATATTTTAATTAAGATTAAAATATATTCAAATCAGGGGCACCTGGGTGGCTCAGTCGGTTAAGCATCCGACTTCAGCTCATGGTTCGTGGGTTCCAGCCACGCATCAGGCTCTGTGCTGACAGCTAGCTCAGAGCCTGGAGCCTGTTTCAGATTCTGTGTCTCCCTCTCTCTCTGACCCTCCCTGCTCATGCTATCTCTCTCTCTCAGAAATAAAAAATAAAACATTTAAAATTTTTTTCAAATATATATTCAAATCACATGTCTATTATGATTTAAATAGTAAACACTCATTAAACTTTGTACTACTTACAAAGATTACACTTAATGATCTCATTTCTGGTATTTTGGGCATTGCTTCAGACAGGAGTCAGTAGTTTATATTATAAATTTTTGTGATTTTGATAATAATTCATTTATTTCAGAGCTCTTCTTTTTAAACTGTTTGCCTCCAAGGAAGGGAAATGCCTGTCTGGGAGATAGAAGGTTTTAACTGTATGTTCTTTTGTACTTTTTGAACTTTGATAAAAGTGAGTGTATTAGGGGCGCCTGGATGGCTTAGTCGGTTAAGGGTCCGACTTTCGCTTAGGCCATGATCTCGCGGTTCATGGGTTCGAGCCCCGCATCGGGCTCTGTGCTGACTGCCAGCTCAGAGCCTGGAGCCTATTTCAGTCTGTGACTCCCTCTCTCTCTGACCCTCCCCTGCTCACGCTGTCTCTCTCTCTCTCTCTCCTAGAAATAAATAAAACATTTTTTAAAAAAAAATAAAAAAAGAGTGTATTAACTAAAAACTAATAAATTGTTAATTTTTAAAAGTAGAATAAATAAGTAGCTCCTATTTTTTCACTGTCTCCACTCTCTAGGATCTCCCCTTCTATGTCATTCTGTGAGGAAAATAAGTTCTCAAGAAGAAAAATCCAAGCCCATCAAACAGTCTCTTAAGAAGCCAAAGTTACCAGAAGGTCGTTTTGATGCACCAGAAGATTCTAATTTAGAGAAAGAACCACTGGCAAGTGAGTATGGGCACATCCCACAGATATTAATAATATTAACAGATTTGGTTTCATACCACTGCAGTAAAGCAAACGACAGTAAAGCAAGTCAAATTATTTTTTTTATTTTTCCATAGCATATATAAAAGCTATGTTTACACTATATGGCAATCTATAAAGTGTGCATTAGCATTGTGTCAAAAAAAAACAATATATATACCTTAATTTAAAAATACTTTACTGCTGGGGCACCTACGTGGCTCCGTTGGTTGAGCGTCCAACTTTGTCTCAGGTTGTGATCTCACAATTCATGAGTTCAAGCCCCACGTTGAGCTCTTTGCTGTCAGCACCGAGCCTGCTTGAAATCCTCTGTCTCCTCCCCCCAGAAATAAATAAACATGAAAAAATACTTTATTGCTAAAAAATGCTAACCATCATCTGAGTTTTTAGTGACTCGTAATGTTTTTTCTGGTGGAGAGACTTGCCTCGATGTTTATGACTGCTAACTGATCAGGTGGTGGCTATTGTAATTTCTTAAAATAGAGCAACAGTGGAGTTTGCTGCATTGATTTATTCCTTTCATGAAAGATTTCTCTGTAGCAGATGCTGCTCGGTAACATTTTACCTACAGTAGAACTTCTTTCAAAATTGAAGTCAGTCCTCTCAAACCCTGCTACTGCTTTATCAATTAAGTCTATGTAATATTCTAAATCCTTTGCTACCATTTTAACAATCTTCACAGCATCTTCACCAGGAGCAGATCCATCTCAAGAAATTACTTTCTTTGCTTATCCATGAGAAGCAACTCCTTACCCATTAATGTTTTTTTTTTTAAGTCTTTTTTAAAAAGTGTTAATTTATTTATTTTGAGAGAAAGAGTATATGTGCATGAGCTTGGGGCTGAGGCAGAGAGAAAAGAAGGGAGAGAAACCCAAGCAGGCTCCTGAGCTGTCATTGCAGAGCTCAACGCAGCTCTCAGGCCCACAAACCATGACTTCATGACCTGAGCTGAAATCGAGAGTTGATTGATTTCAAAATCAAGAGTTGATGAGCCACCTGGGCACCCCATCATCCATTAAAGTTTTATCACAAGATGGCAGCAACTGAGTCACATCTTCAGGCTCTACTTCTAATTCTAGATTTCTTGCTATTTCTACCACATCTGCACTTACCCCAATGAAGTCTTGAACCCCTCAAGGTCATCTATGAGGGTTGGAATCAACTTCTTTCCAACTCCTTATGTTGATATTTTGACCTTTTCCCATGAATCACATATGTTCTTAATGGCATCTTCCTTTTCAGAAGGTTTTCAATTTACTTTGCCCAGATCCATCAGAGGAATCACCATCTATGGCAGCTACAGCCTTATGAAATGTATTTCTTAAATAATACGACTTGAAAGTCAAATGGCTCCTTGATCTATGGGCTGCAGAATGGATGTTGTATTAGCAGTCATGAAAACAATATTAATCTCATTGCACATCTTCATCCGACCTCTTGGGCACCAGGTGCATTGTCAGTGAGCAGTCATATTTTGAAAGGAATCTTTTTTTCCTGAGCAGTAGGTCTAATCAGCAGGCTTAAATATTCAGTTAACTGTGTTGTGAACAGATGTGCTGTTATCCAGGCTCTGTTGTACCATTTATAGAGCACAGGAAGAGTAGATTTAGCATGGTTTTCAAGTGGCTTAGGATTTGTGGATTGGTAAATGAACACTGGCTTCAACTTAAAGTTAGTCACCAGCTACATTAGTCCCTAACGAGAGTCAGCCTATTCTATGAAGCTTTGAAGGCAGGCATTGACTTCTTCTCCCCAGCTATGAAAGACCTTTTTCTAATAGAGGGTTGTTTTGTCCACATTGAAAATCTATTGTTTAATGTAGCCACCTTCATTAATTATCTTAGCTAGATCTTCTGGAGAACTTACTGCAGCTTCTACATCAGCACCTGCTGCTATACCTTGCACTTTGATGGTATGGAGATGGCTTCTTTCCTTAAACATCATAAACCAACCTGTGCTAGCTTTAAATTGTTCTGCAGCTTTCTTACCTGTCTCAGCCTTTAAAGAATTGAAGAGATTAGGCCCTTGCTCTGGAAGGCTTTGACTTAAGGGAATGTTGTAGCTGGTTTGATCTTCTATCCGGACCACTAAAATTTTCTCAATGTCAGCAATAAGGCTGTTTTGTTTTTCTTATCATTTATGTGTTCACTGATGTAGCACTTTTAATTTCCTTCATGAACTTTTCCTTTGCGTGCACAATTCCGGTAACTGTTATCACAAGAGACCTAGCATTTGGCCTGTCTCAGCTTTCAATGTACCTTCCTCATTAAGCCTACTCATGTCTAGCTTTTGATTTAAAGTGAGAGACATGTGACTCTTCCTTTCACTTGAACACTTAGAGGCCATTGTAGGGTTATTAACTGGCCCAATTTTTAGTCTTGTTTTGCCCCTGGGAGTAGGGAGGCCCAAAGAGGGGGAAAGACAAGGGAACAGCTGTTCATGGAGCATTCAGAGCATACACAACATCTATCACTTAATTGTTTTATATGGATATAATTCCTGATGTCCCAAACAATTAAAATAGTAATACCAAAGATCACTGATCAGAGTTCACCATAACAAATATAATAATAATGACAAAGTTTGAAATATTGTGAGAATTACTAAAATATGACACACAAGCACAAAGTGAGAAAATGCTGTGTGGAAAAATGGCACCAATAGACTTGCTCGATGTAGGGATACCACAATTTGTAAAACATGCAGCATCTCAGGGACACATGGGTGGTTCACTTGGTTAAGTGCCCAACTCTTGATTTCAGCTCAGGTCATGATCTCGCAGTTCATGAGTTTGAGTCCCATGTTGGGCTTGTGCTGCTGACAGTGAGGAGCCTGCTCGGGATTCTGTCTTTCCCGTCTCCCTCCCTCCCTCCCTCCCTCCCTCCCTCTCTCTCTCTCAAAATAAATAAACTTTTTTTAAAAAAATGCATTTATCTGTGAAGCACAATAAAATGAAGTATGCCTATATAGTAAAGCTCCTCCCTTAATTTTTGAAGTATCAAAGAAAATACTTTAGTTATTGAAGAAAAAGAATGAAAGAAATATGTCATTGTTTATAATTCTCTATTATAAAGCATATTTCACAATGAATAAGTTCCCATATTGACTATCAATATGTGTAGGTTAAAAAAAAAAAAAACTTGTAAACCCCTGACATTGATTGATTGTGTTTGATTGTTTTATTCTTTATAACCCATTATTTATATGCCAAAGTATATGAACTGAGACCTGCTTTGATGTGAATAACAGAGAACTACTTGAGCAGATTTAAACAGGAGGTAGTGTAGGTTGTTACTGTTCTACAAGGTACATAGGTGGGGTACTCAGGGCAATGATGCTGCTGGAGCTTGGAACAAACAGACCTTAGGAGTAAACACTATATGGAAATCAGGATATTCTCCCTCCTTCTCTTGTCCCTGGTCTCTTCTTTTTGTTTTCTGTCATCAGACTCCCTTCTTAGTCCACTGGGCAGAAGGAACTGTTCCCAACGTCTACTCAGGTCAGTAGAGCAACTAGATTGAAAATACAATTGTTTAGTTCTAATTCCAAAAAAAATTTTTTTTAGCTTTAGTAGGCTCCACACCCAGCATGGAGCTTGAATTCATGACCCCGAAACCAAAAGTTGCCTGCTGTGCCAACTGAAACAGCCAGATGTCCCTCTAATTCGAAATTTCTTAGGAAAAGAGCTCATTGCCAAGCTTGGATTGGGTGTCTGTAGCTAAATCAATCTGAGTGGCCACTGGGGTGGGTCACAGGTGAAGGTAATGGTTCTCACTGTAGCCATATAGTTGGAGAAAGAGAAGAGGAAGTTTGGAGAGGAAAGAGGTTTTTGAGGATGGTGGGATGGTAGACTAAACATTGTTTTGTATTTAGTGTATACAAAATTCAATTCATGTTCTAAAGCTGTGGGTTTTTTTTTTTTTTTTAACGTTTATTTATTTTGAGAAAGAGAAAAGCAAGCGAGTGGGGAAGGAGCAAAGAGACAGTGGGAGAGAGAATCCCAAGAAGGCTCTATGCTGTCAGCACAGTGCCCAACATGGGACTTTGATCTCACAAATCGTGAGATCATGACCTGAGCTGAACAAGAGTGGGATGCTTAAGGGACTCAGCCACTCAGGCACACCAAGCTCTTTTAAAATGCTACCCTACTTTTATTCTGTACTGTTTTGTATCTTTGAGTTGTGGAACATGTGCGTGTATTTGCTGTTTAAAAATATAACATTGTAGACTGCATAAATGTAAAACACACCAGTTTGAAATTTTGGCAAGGCTGCCCTGCTTGTCTAATTTATCCAGTCTCCTGAGAGTTAACCTATCTATGCAATTAAGCATCCTAGGCAAGAAAATATCAACAGAGGATACAGGGACCTGTATCTGCAACCTTTCAGAGTATAAAAACTTTTTGTTCTTTCAGTTAAATATTTCAATTTATAGAACTTTTCTGAGCCTAGTCTAATAACCAGATCAATATGCCAAAATGATGGAGACATTTAAAGAGTTGGTATAATCTAAAGGTAAAATTCTTTCATGGTTTTAGCCAAGCACAAAAATCTGAGAGGAAAATTTTAATTAAAGCATTGTACACAAAAGCAGCAATCCTAGAAGTAAACCCTCAACTATTGGTCAGTTGGTTTTTGAGAAGGTTGCCATGTTCATTCGGTGGAGAAAGGACAGTCTTTTCTATAAGTGGTGCTGGGAAAACTGGATAATCACATGCAAAAGAATAAAATTGTACCCTTACCTTATACCATATATAAAAATTAACTAAATATGTCAAAAACCTAAAATTAAAAGGTAAGCCTTTAAAATTCTTAGATGAAAACATTGGGGGAAATCTTTATAGTATTGAATTTGACAATAGTTTCATGGCTATGACACCAAGAGCATAGGCCGCAAACACAAAAATATATAGAATTGCTTGTCAGCAAAATAAATTTTGTACATCCAAGAATATTATCAAG